AAGGCGAGCGCGACTCATCACTGCCTCACACTACGCGGTCGCGAACATGGCCATGCGAACTCGAAGAATAAAACACGTCTCCCCCAGCACGCCGCCCACTGTGTGATCGTGAAAGAGCCTTTGCGAACGTGATGAAACAAAACCCACACTTAAGCGAACACGGTCCACTTACTACGAACACGAAGAAGGAAAAATGGTCAGTCCCAAGACAGCCTACGCGAACACGGCTTGAACTTCGCGATCGCGTAGAAGGGGACACTAGATATTAATTCAGCCATCCAAAACATGAGAAAATGGCCCGTAGCCCATCCGAAACACGCCCGAGCCCCCCGGCACCCTGTCAAAACATACCAACAAGTTTCATAACATACCACGGACCCGCTCGAGGCCTCAAATCACATCAAACAACGTCGAAAACTACGAATCGCACCATGAATCGAACTTAAGAACTTTCAAATCTTCCAACTTCCAAAACTCGTGTCGAAACATGTCAAACCAACCCGGAATGGCGTTAAATTTTGCATCCAAGTCCCAAATGACATAATAGAGCAAATCCAATCCTCGAACTCACATTTCGACCCTGATATCACCAAAGTCAACTCTCGGTCAAACCTCTCAAACTTCCAAAACTTTAATTTTTCCAATTTTCGCTGAAATGCTTCATATTACCCTACGGGCCTCCAAATCCGGAACCATACGAAGCTATTGGAATCACCAAAACACCATTTCTAAATCGTCTACACAAAAGTAAAACTCTGATCAACTCTTACCGCCTAAGCTTCTAAAGCAAGAATCCTTCTTCCAAATTGACCCCGAAATATCTGAAAACTGAACTCGGCCACATGGGCAAGTCATAACACAAAATACGAAGATGCTCGAGACCTTATGCCGCCGAACGGGACGTAAAGTCTCAAAACTATCGGCCGGGTCGTTACAGTATTCCATTATATTAGGAATTGAATAGGAAATTCCCTCTTCACTCACTCTCTCTCTCTCTCTCTCTCTCCCCCTTCGATCTCTCTCTCGCTCTCTGATATCTTTCTCATTCTCCATCAGTATTATATTAATATCTTTATGTGGATTAACTAAAATAATGATACTAATCTTAAGTGAAAAAAAGAGAGAAGAATAATACCTAACAAAGTTCTTGCTTCAGATCTATGAAAACGAGGAAGTTAATAAGAAAGAAATTAGCTCTGATGAAGAGAATCATTTTAATTATCATTCTTTTAGCTTTTTGGAATCAATAAACAAAATAATGTTAATTAGAAGCGAGCAGATTGAATTGGAAACTATGTTAATCCATTAGAAACTCCATTGACATCAATTAAAAAGCTACAAAGCATTGATTTCAAAATGAAATTTTATGAAATTATTTTTTGTTTGGATTGGGTGTTGTTGCAAATAATTGGGAATATTCGTTGGAGTTTATATCTCAAGTTTGATATAATTTGGTGGAGATTCGAGGTGATTTTAGTTGAAATTTCAGATTGAAACTCGAAAAAGAAGAAATGAACAAATTGTATATATTTTGTTTGTCGAATGTAGAAATGGTATACGAAATATCTACAACTTACATAATTATATATAAGTTGTATATAAATTGTATATAAATTATAGTTTTTGGCCAGATTCTGTACAAAAAATGTGTATTTGTGTTGTAGATAAATTTTAGATTTTGACCTAATTTGTATATATTTTGTAAAAAACTTTTGTTACTTCATGTAAATAGGAAAACTTCGGGTAAATAAGTTTAAAATTTTGTATATATACGAAAAAGTCCCTTTTTGAAGTGGTCAAATAATTTTTAAATACGACCTATACTTTTAGAAATAGGCCCGTAATTAGCAGCCACATTTTCAAATTAAGTGAAAATGTCGAAAAATATTTTGTGGAGCTAAGGGAGTTCGAACCCACAACCTCTCACATCCAACTCGAAGCTGACAACCATTGGACTAGTAAGCTATTTTTTTAGCAAATATACCACTAGGCAGGCTGCCTAGTGGCTAATATTTATATAAATAAACAAAAACAAGGATCCAGAGTTTACAATTTTTCCAAGCAAATCTAAAAAATGGTAAGCTAAAACTAATGCTACGAAAATATAAAATTCTAACTATTACAACTTCTGTCCAAGCCAACTCCTCTCTGAAGATGTGTGTATCCACTAGCCAAGTGCAAAACCTCAATGTAGCACCTCCAAAGCTCTCACTAGGCGCCAAGTTTTGCGTTCCATAGGACAAGGCAAATGTGAATCTCCAAACAACTTCTTCAACTGGAATTGTCCAAACCTCCATGAAGATGATCAGTGTATGCATCCATACTGCTTTCCATGTGTGAATTAGCAGCATCAATGTGCAAGGTGGACTTGTGAGGAGTAATATACTCCAGCAATATACAGTAGAGGGTGTAGTTCTATGAAACTTATACCGTGTGCTAGTACTGCTGAAACACCTCCAGATTGATGAATACATGTCAATACCACTGAATAATATCTCAACCTTACCATGAACACTGTTCTGAAACCCTACACCCTCCAGAAACCCTAGTAAAAGATTTTGTAGAGCTACGCATATGTGATCAAAATTCCTACTGCCCATACCTATATCATGTATCAACATTAGCCAGCATCACCCTATCATTTCAGAACAACTCTGGAGAATGAAGGACCCTTGTGCACTGCCAGAACCTCTCCAGGTTGGGTATAAAATACCAATACCACTAGATAATGTCCTAACAGCACACATAAGCATATGGATAAATGTCCCACCTAATGTAGTATTTGGATTCCATCTTTTGTGATGCAAAAGCCATATAATCATATCATATTCAGCACCATTGCAACCATATAGATCATTGCTATATGAACCAGAAATGCTATGAACTGCACTATCCTTAGTCTACTTATAGTTACAAATCTATACACCAATAGAGCACCTCTAGAATGAGCATGTAACCATGCTAATACCACTAGAATGTACCCTACTAGTATAAAGAATTTGGACAAACAAATGTGCCAAACAGGCAAGTACAGGATCAAACCTTTTGTGGCCATTAATCTAGAGTTGTTCTCTTGGCTATCCTATTCCTAAGATTAGGAGTTTGTGACTTGTCAAGATTGATCAATATCCTCCCTCCACATGGCAGTTCAGAGAATGAGTGAAACTCAGATGTACCTGCAAAAGAAAAAACAATGTTAGCTATAAAATCTGCCACTGAGTTGCCTTCTCTGAACACATGTTGAAAGATCACATTGAAGTTGTCCCTCATCTCCTTAATTCTCTTCACATCTGGTGCAATTGCCCATGGAGGATCCCATTCCCCTTCAATCACCTTCTTCATCACCAATGAATCAGTCTCCAAGATGAGAGGGTGAAGATCATGCTCCACACAATATTCCAACCCTTGAACAATCGCCTTTGCTTCAGCTACAACATTTGTTGTCACCCCCAGATTTACTGCCCTAGCATACACCAAATCACCTTCATCATTCCTCACACAAAAGCCTAGGAAACTAGGACCAGGGTTGCCCTTTGATGCTCTATCAGTATTGCACTTATACCAACCATGAAAAGGCAGCTGCCATATTACTCTTGTTGTCATCAGTATATGCTTATAACCTTCAAAGAACTGGATCATATCTGGCCATAACAAAGGAATATTAGACATCCAGACATATCTCACCCTTGCCAATTGATGCAATGTCCTATTTACTTCATGAATCACCCTATTTGTGGACACCGACCCTCTATGTTTGCCTGCATTTCTTCTCTTCCATAGCTCCCAGGTGATGATAGCTGGTACTGCCCGGAACAATGGCTTCATTTTGGACAACATTGTGCATTCCACCAATGCCTTATAACTTGTTTCAACTGTATCAAAGGCACGATAATTCCGGCAGCTCCCATGAACAGCTTCCAAACCTTTAAGGCAGTAGGACTAGTTACAAATATGTGCTCTATAGTCTCCTCTTGAGGTTCCTGACAACACTAACATCTAAACATCACCATCTGCCCTTGCCTCCTCCACATATCATCAATAGCTATTTTCTTCCTCCACAATCTCCACAAAAAGAATGATATCTTGAAAGGCAACCCTTTTATCCACATTAACTTGAACTCCTGATTAGGATCAGCCCTATGCCTTAGTATTTGCCAAGCATTGCTAACACTGAATTTACCTGAAGAAGTTGGCATCCAGTATGGCCTATCCCAGTATTCCTCACTGCCCTCATAATGCACATTGGACCTAATATGATCAGCAATGTCTTCAGTGAAACTTTGATCAAGCAACTGATCATTCCGTGCTTCTCCTTGCCTCAATTCTGCCACTTCCTGAAGGTCCTCATTTATCGAAAAATCTTCACGTAGTACATGATATAGAGCTCCCAATCCAGTCCAGTTTTCATGCCATATGTTTGTTGTTCCACTCTTCATCTCCCATAGAATCTCATGTTCAATCTTCCCTAGCATTCAACATTTGTTTCCAAACATGACACCCCCTTCTAAATTGCACAACTGTGGGTATCTCCTTCTTGCAATACTTGTTCCACATAAAATTGGACCACAAAGACTTTGTAGTCCTAAATCTCCACCATAGCTTAGCAAACAATGCCTTTGAGACATCATGAATAGACCTAAAACCTAGACCCCACCCCCTCCTCTTTGGGAAGACAAAGATTCTGCCAAGAAGACCAATGCCTGCTCCTACCTTCCTCCTTTGTACTCAAAAAGAATCTAGCAAAGAGCTTGTGAAGATATTCCAGGATGTTTTTAGGTGGATAAAGAACTGATAACATATGTACTGGCATGCTTTGCAACACACTAGAGATGAGTGTTGTTTTCCACCAATTGAAAGCAACTTCCCTTTCCATGAATGCAATTTAGCCTTCACCTTCTTGATAAGATCATCATAGTACTCCTTCCTCCGTTTAGTGTAGAAGATAGGACAACCAAGGTATATAAAGGGAAATTTAGCTCTTGCAAATCCAGTAATGTTCCCTACTGCCTGAAATAATCATGTGCCACTTTAGAGTACATATAGTAGGAGCTCTTAGCTTTATTGATCATTTGACCCGATATCTTCTCATAGTTTTCCAACACTGCCATAATCTTGCTCAATGATGGAGGATGAGCAGAAGCGAAAATTATGGTATCATCAACATAAGCTAAGTGATTCAAAGGATCAGACCACTTTGGCATCCCAAATCCAACAAAAGATTTATCTTCAAAGAGCTTGTTCAATGATCTAGATAGCACCTCAGCTGATAGTATGAACAAGGCTAAAGATAGTGGATCCCCTTGCTTCACACACCTTGTAGACTTGAAGAACCCTGAGGAATGCCCATTAACCAATACTGAATACCAATTATTTGACACCAAATTCCACACCATGTTGATGAAGTGTTCTGAGAATCTCATATTCCTTAGAACATGTAACAAATATTTCCATGAGACCCTGTCATACACCTTAGCCATGTCTAGTTTAATAACCACATTTGCTGGCTTGCCTCTCAATCTTATATCAGTCACAATCTCTTGAATGAGTAATATGTTCTCAAATATACTCCTCCCCTTCACAGATCCGGATTGATTTGGAGATATTAAGGTAGACAGAAATTTCTCCAATCTATCATGTAACACTCTAGACAAGACCTTGTTGATGAAGTTACTCAAACTAATAGCTCTTAGGTCGGAAAAGGTCTCCACTCTAGGTTTCTATGGCAGCAAAACTAAATTGGTGTGAGTGATGGATTTAGGCAATGCAGCTCCTCCATAGAAGTGTAGTACCATGTTGTGTATGTCAACACCAATAATATCCCAGCATGTCTGATAGAATAGGCCAGTAAATCCATCAGGACCACTAGCACTCTCCCCACTAAGCTCAAAAACTGCTGCCCTAATTTCTTCAAGTGTCGGCATTCTACTAAGCTCCAAATTCTGCTCCATAGTGACCATGGAAGGTATATTGTTAAGCAATGTCTGATAGAATAGGCCAGTAAATCCATCAGGACCACTAGCACTCTCCCCACTAAGCTCAAAAACTGCTGCCCTAATTTCTTCAAGTGTTGGCATTCTACTAAGCTCCAAATTCTGCTCCATAGTGACCATGGAAGGTATATTGTTAAGCAATGAGAAATCAGTAGTATCGCCTTCATTGGTGAACTGCCTTTGATAGAAATCCACTGTAGCTGTAGCCAATTGCTCTTGATCTTCAATCCACACCCCTTTTCCAGTCTGAATCCTTTTCAGTTGCAACTTCTTCCTCTTGCCATTGACATGATTGTGGAAAAAACTTGTATTCCTATCACCCTCTGCAAACCATGTTATCCCAGCTTTTTGCTTCTATATTGCTCTTCAATGCTCAAATATTTCATCAATTCTGATTGAGCTTTTTGAAGAACAATTCTATTCTCTATAGTAGGTTCCTCTTCAAACAACATCCCCTTTACTCTAACAATGTCTTCTAAGATAGCCAACTGCTTGAAGATATCACCAAATGTTTCCCTACTCCATTTTGAAAGAGCTGCCTTCACCTTCTTGAGCTTCTGCTTGAACATCAAAAAAAGATCTCCTATGAAATCAGCTTCCCAATTCTGCCTCACCACATCTATAAATATAGCATGTTTAGCCCAAAAATTCAAGAACCTGAATGGCTTGACAAAGTTGGCAGTCTCCTCCCCACATGTCATGACCAAAGGTGTTACACCCCATGTTTTCTTACGTAGAAGTACGCCATAAGTAAATTGATATAAGCTGTAAAATGAGATGTTACATTCCGCATTTTCGTACGTTAAGGTTTCGTCGTAAGTTAATCGACGTAAGTTCGGGAATGATATTTATTTTGGGATTATAAGTATTACGCTATTTCGAACAAGTGATAAGTTAATTCGTGAAGGTGAGAGGGTAAGCAAATCGAAGAAAATGAGTTTCATCGAAGTTTGGCAATTTGGGGATAAGATACGGTCCGAGCTAAAATACTCGGTATTTATGGACTAGTGCCGTACAAGGTAGGTAGCACATGACCATCATAGTAAGGTATATAAGGTATGTGAAAAGTGAGTAGTATTTTACGTAAGTGAAAATAATTCTTAATTATGTGGGTAAATGGTTAATTATTGGGTAATGGGACATTACCTAGTTAATTAATAATTAGTGGTGGATTAATTGAAGTCTTTGGATAAAGACTAAAGCAAAAACGTGGCAGCAAGCCACTTCTTAAATACATGACTATTAGTCATTTTTGGTAGGTGTCAAAGTAATGTTTTAATTACATAACACCTTATCTCTAATATCTTGAGTTTTTGGTAGGTGGCAAAGTAATAACCTCATTTCTAATATCTTGAATTCAAAGACTACAATCAAAAATCAGACCTGACCGTTTGCACATTAGCAATTCCTACAAAATATTCCTAACATCTTCAACGAGAGTTCTTACAAAATCTTCAACCAATTCCTACAAAAGATTCCAACGAGATTTCTTAGCACATGAGCAACGTGAGATTTTGCGATTCTAAGGGAGTACAATGCAACCTTTTCCAAGAATATCATACGGATTTTTTCCTACGCCAGGTATGTTAAGGCTATCCCTTCTTTCTTTTTGCATGATCTATACGACACAAACGAAATGAGCAAATGCACAACTTTCATAAATTACTCTATTCATAGAAGTACTAGAGATGCCTATGTTCTTGATTCCCCATGTATCCTATTATTCTATCATCTGTTCATGGGTCTCAGAAAATACGTAAGTTGATAAAGTTTATTTTATGATATTAATCAAAGGCATAATGGTCTTATGATATTCCAAGAGATTTTATTGACGTACTTCTCATGCATTGCATTCATGTACATTGACCCATGACCAGATGGCATTATATACGCATATGTATATATATGTATATGGGATATGGGAAAAGGTTACGACGCTATATACGCACCACCACCTGATCAGCTGGTATACTTTGATGATTTTGCCCACAGTGGCCGAGATGATATGATGGGATGCCCTCAGAGGCTTGATGATATTATGAACACATGTACCTATGCACGACATGACATTCATACGCATATGGATGACACTATAAGTATTTCATGATTTACAGAGTTATCCAGACTTACATGTCGAGTCTTTTACTCCATGTTTCTCTCATGTATATTATTTACTGATTTTTATTCCTTACATACTCGGTACATTATTTGTACTCCTTTTTGCCTGGGATGTTGCATTTCATGCCCGCAGGTCCCGATAGACAGGATGAGAGTCCTCCAAGTAGGCTATCAGCTCAACGGAAGGTATCGGTGTGCTCCATTTGCTCCGAAGTTGCTTATTTGGTCAGTATGATTAGGACATGTATTGATTACTATGGCGGGGCCCTGTCTCGAGCTTTGTGACATTTATGTACTCTTAGAGGCTTGTAGACATATGTGTACGTGAAAGATTATATGGCCTTGTCGGCCTATGTTCGGTGTACGAGTGGTGATTTTGGTCTTGTAGGCCAGTATGTCATATGTATAAGTTTGTATTTCCCTCATGATTTACTCCAGTTCATTTACCTATGATAGAATGGTACGAAAGATACGTTACGTTGGCACTCGGTTGATTAAGGTACCGGGTGCCTATCGCGGCCCATCGGTTTGGGTCGTGACAAAAGGTGCATGATCCGATCTAGTTCTAATAAGGTGCACCACTTTAATGGTTGGCAACATATTCTAGAAAGGCAAATTTACCAAAATTCTATCCAACCTCTTGAATATGCATGATGCATTAGGTCTACCATTCCACCATGTACAAGGACTCCCATTGTACCCTTGATCAAACTATCCACATGAATTGATACAAAAGGCAAAGTCCTCATACTCAGGAGGGTGTACTGGTTATCCCCCTATCTTCTCATCTTCATGTAATACCACATTGAAATCCCCTGCTACCAACCATGGCAACTACATATTCACTTGCTAAATATATAGATGATCCCATAATTCAAACCTCTCTAATGCTGAACATTTTGCATAAACAAATGTCATCATCATGTGCTTCCCCAAGTCATGGTGAAACACTTTCACAATCACTTGTTGTTCAGTATCCTCCACTAGTTCCCATTACACTATTGCATCAAAGAACAACCATATTTGCCCATTAATATTTGAGTAGGCAGTATCCATATTCAGCATCCTTCTATACCTATTAATGAAACCCTTCTTTTGAAAAGGTTCCATCAATTCAATTACAAAAAAATTATGTTCCCTTTGCATGTTGATCACTCTAGGAAAGGCCTGCTGTGTATTCACAGACCTTATGTTCCAAATAAGTGTTTTGATCATCATCATTTAGATTGAGATGCACCCCTCTTGGGCATTATTCTTAAAGGTGGAAGTGGCCCTTTATTCTAATTCTTCTTAGTCTTCTTACCTCCCTTTGCACTAGCTATAGGTGATAAGTCAGCTTCCCTTGTCACTTGTTTGAAATTGGTTGTAGTTGATTCATCATCTTCTTCTTCCTACATTGGATTCTGTCTCAATATCTCTTCCTCCATATGTGCCACATTGTGTGTAATTATATGATGTAAATGCTGCAGAGGGATCTTCAAAGGTACATTAAGTTGCAACTGCATGATTTGATCCGTGCCAGGTTCACAAGCAATAGGAGCTGCCTCTAATTCCCCAGCTGATCTTGGTACAATAGCTTGCTCAAATTGATCCTTTGACTGTTCATTCCCTTTGTTGTGCTCCATAGAAGAAACAACAACCTTCATAAATTTGAATTGCATCTCATAAACACTGCCTAGCCCTGGATTTACTGTAGCAGTCTGCCTAGAAATCATTGTTCCATTGGGATCACCTTCCTTCCCATAGCATGTCTGTTGGCCATCAACAAAGGCCAAAACCTCCCCAATTTTGCTAGGGTTTACTGTTCCATTGCCTTTCTTCTTGGTTAGAGATAATTGAGCTGATCCATCTTGTTTTCTAGATTCCTTTGATGATCCTCTATCACCTCCAGTTGATGGTTTAGGTTGCATAGCCTTAGAACTTGAACTACCCTCAACCCTAATTTCTAGGCAATTAGGGTTAGGGTTTACTGTAGCTAGGGTTTCAGGTCCCCCTTCTTTTGAACTTGCAAATTTCCATCTTGGACATTGTTTTTGTCATTCAAATCCTCTGCATTTTGTGTTCTCCACTTCCTCAACTTCATCACCCCAAGTCTTCCTTTGCATCAGTTAAGGTCTCAGAATTTGGCAAACATTGTGAACTATGACCAACTGTTTGCGTAGGGATTTCTTGACATGAGTAATTAGTTGTGACATGAATGTCCTCCCGAGCTGCATTGAACCTCCTTGCCACCCAATACACTATTCTTTCTCTCCTCATATCTTCATTATCCCCATTGCTAGTATGGCTAGGAACTGATCCATCGACAATATTAGTAATTCCATCTCCAGCTCCTTTCATAGCTGCCTTGGTTCCTTTCCCAGTAGAAG